AGTAAATGCTACCAGGTTTTTATCGGGGGGGCCGATATCAGCGAAAATTTGCTCCTCGTTGCCTTCTTCTTCATTTTGTTCGTCGTTCGTCTCAAAATTAAGTTCGTCCAGCACCTCGGGCTTTATTTCGCTGCACATCCTCAGGTCTCTGACATCATCGTGGCTGGCTTCGGCTTGAGATAATAGCCGACTCTTGGCTTGGGCATCCAATTCGCTCAATACATCACCAATCGCTTTGCTACTAGCCATCAATGAATTTTGACACTTCTCAAATAACTCCATCAATGACGGACTAGTCTCTTGAAGTGAAGATTCTGAAAAATATTGTGAGCCTTCATAATGGAATTGAGAGTCATCGTGCTCATAAGTAGGCTCATACGATCGAGAATACTATGGATTTTCATAGAATGAATTTCCACGATCGCCCCGACCATAATAGTTCCTATCAAAATTTGAGTACGTCCAATTGTCTCGTCGATACCAATCTCTCTCGTTAGCTCTACGTGCACCATATCTCTCGAACAAAAAAGGGCAATCATCGGTGACGTGTTGTGTGGTATAACATAGACGACATGGTCTCTTTAAAGCTTGACGAACACTCTCAATGGCTTCTTGGATCATAGCCGACATCCTAGCCTGACGTTGTTGATCTCTTATTTCCCTTCTTCTCATTTCATAATATGATTCGTAAGCGTAAGCACACTCCGGGCTCCAATATGTATCCATCTAGAACAAATACCACCTGCAAAAGAAACAAAAAAAATAGGGGGAATTAAGAGAGTCAAATAAAAATAAAATAAAATAAATACTAATCTAATACCTAAGTCAATTAACACTAAAAAAATCACAACTCAATTGCGCCACTCCCCGGCAACGGCGCCAAAATTTGACCGCGCGTCGCAACGCGGCAAATTATAAATTTATAAATTTTCCTCGACTAACCTCTACTAACTAGTAGTAGTGGCGAGCAAGGGTCGATCCCACGAGGAGCAGGAATTAAGTCGTGACAATTTTGTATTAATTGAACTAAACTACGAAAGCAGTAAAGACGAGGGAGATTTGATAGGTCGAAAAATATGCATATTTTATATATTTAATAGTGTATTTTTATACGCTTAATTTATTCGCACATTTATATTTTTCGACTTATTTATTATTTGAATGGATTCATATACCTTAATATTTTTATATTTATTTTCAGTTTATTGGAGTATTTTATGGTTCCGGAGCATTGAACGGCTGTTCGCGAGAGATTAGGCTCACACATGCTTAGAAGAATTAAGGTCCAATTCACGCAGGAGTCACGACAAATGGAATTGCATAATATTAGACATTTAGTTGATTCATGCTATCTATATTTAGTGTTTATGAATTATGATGTTTGATTTAGTTTGGCCAGCTACGTTGAATGTTCATAATTTAATTGCTAGATTCAGGACTTTAATCCGTAATTGTTATTGTCTTGTTTTGTTGGTAGTAAACTAGGGGTCGTGCATCCTTAGGGTAGCGTGAACATAAGTTAAATGGTCCGATCTTACGCGTCCATTGCTTAGACTGATCTATTTTCCTAGTAATTAATGCTGCTAGTGTATTAAATTTAGAGAGCTTATTCTAGGTTGTCCGCTAGTTAGGTTTAGTCGAAGAGCTTATTTCGATTAAATACTCAGTAAGGGAAAATTCGGTTAACAGAGCTTGTTGTTAGCTAGGGTCGGTAATTTATTAGCAACTTAAAGAAGGCGTCGAAGTTGGTTAATGGTAAATTTAGATTGGGTGATAACTGAACCGAAAACTGGACTTCTCTTATTTTATTTAATTTTTATTTTATTTTCTTTTGTTACTTTTATAAAATCAATCCCCCCCATCTTTACTGCTTTCGTAGTTTAGTTCAATTAATACAAAATTGTCACGACTTAATTCCTGCTCCTCGTGGGATCGACCCTTGCTCGCCACTACTACTAGTTAGTAGAGGTTAGTCGAGGAAAATTTATAAATTTATAATTTGCCGCGTTGCGACGCGCGGTCATGTTCCTAGTGAATCCAGTTGTGCTTCTACACGTTTGCATAATTATGTAAGAACCGAAAAACATAAATATCCTATTGGCGCAAACAATCGACGAGTGTTAAGAAACCAACCTATATGACAAGAAATTTAGAATTGAACAATAGCAATGCACCATCTTCTTCACAC